TGTATGCAGACACAGCAGGCCGGCGGGCGCGTGCACTGACACCGTCGTCCAGGGAGCCCCGGCGCTTATTATGGCTGTTTGGACAAGTGTTTCCGCAGAGTCATTAATAACCCTATAGGCTATGACACAAACGGGCCTCCCCGCCACCGATTAGAATCTTGCTATCACGTGGTCAAATCACTACGGGGCCGGGTTAGGCATGATCCATGGTGACGGCGCTAAGCAACATCGTCCCTTCCCTCGCTCTTCTCATCGGTAAGGAGGATCAAACCCCGTCACACATAAGTACCCTCAGCTGGGAGCGCTCCAAGAGCTCTTCGGTCAGACCATCCAGTGGCTCTAGCACCCCTCCGTGCAGCCTACACACAGCGATAGGAAGTTCGGTCTCTCTAGCTGTGAATCACCGATGACCTCAAACAGTCAGGTGGGTTAACCGGCTGAGGCCGATCAATGCCACGGACCTGACGAACATTAGCAGGACCTCTCTACCTGGCTAGAGACACTTACGGAGGGAACGGCCGATGCGGATCCCGTGTGGACGTCAACGTCCATGGACCGTTTGGAAATTGCACTCATTAGGGATGTTCCTTCAGGCGATGAAAGGTTTCAAGATCTTCTTAAAGGCGTTGATGCAGCCCCTCCGCGGGTCGAAATGCAGGATCTTAAAGGTGTCCCTAAAGTGCTGGAAGGGCACAGTGAGAAGATCCGGGGGACATCAGGAGCTCAAACCTCAGAAGACGGGCTGCTCTTCCTCAGCGAGTTGTTGCGAGACACAATTGGCTGCATACCAATGGGAGAGTGTGAGAGACAATGGTGGTTAACGGCGCCTCACGATACCGCGGCGGACGGGAAGAGATTCTCAAAATCGAATGAGACCGATTTTCACTGGAGTGTCGCTGTCTCCATCATCCATCATCTCGACTCAGAGGAATTTCACCAAATCTTCGCAGTTGCCTACGAGGAAGAATGGTCCATGGAAACGAGTTTAATGTGCGCTGGGGTCCCGCAGGCAAAACCGGACGTGGCCGTGTCATTCCATCGGGACACATTCTTTGAGCAGGGTACCCTGGACTATCCCCTCGAACTCGGTGAATGTCTCCATCCGAGAGGACGTAAGCGATGGTTTCCCTTCTTCTTCATCGGAGCTGAAAGGGAAGGCAAACTTCCTGGCAGTGTGCTTGGGCATAATCTGTATACCGCAAGCCAGGCATTGTTCAATATCTTCCAGTGGATGCGCCGGGATCCACCGCTCAGCGAGCAGTACTTTGAACAAGTTCGGACTTTCAGTATGGCTCTAAGTGAGGATAAGCTGGTTTTAAGAATGCACCGGGCAGAAACAGCAAGAGGTGGTAGGCTCAGGTACGAGTTTACCGAGATGGCCAAAATCCACGATTACAGTGAGTATAGCGCCTTTTCGCTGATATACCGGATTTTATGGAAGTACGCGCGGCGAGTTCTATACCCCCTCCTCAAAAAGACCTTTCAGAGAGTCGTCGAGTTGGACCAGCTGAAGGACGGAAGATGTGAATCTCACTCCGACCCGCCCTCTCCGACTTCATCTGCCCAGCAAGTCTCTTTTCCTCCTTTTCAGCCCACCCAGAAAGATTCTCTTACCACTGGACGGAAAGGGCGGCGCTCGCTCGAGCGGGAGGCGCGCAGGGCCACGCGGAAACGTGTCAAAATGCGAGTCGGAGCCAGGGCGGAAGAGAATCAAATCCTCACGCGATCACGTACCAAACCCGATTATCTCTTCGAATCCCTGCCGAACATCGGTCGTTCTAGGTAGAACGGCTGGGGATGCTGAAAATGCTCTCAAGAATCTACGGATGTCGTCAATAAGGGAGAACGGGCGCTTGTCCTTGTCTTGTCTAGATAAACATGCGGCTGATCGCCGAATCTCACGTACGTGGCTTTTGCGATGGCAAGAGCGATGGGAGTGTTTTCCTTCTTCGCACCCTCGCCCCCTCGCCGCCTCGCCGAGCGGCCCCGGGTTGCCCTGCACGGTCGCGGTGTGAGAATCGCGCCCTTTGGCAGGACCTTGTGTTGGGAGAAGATTGAAAAAGATACAAAGGCCAACTGGGCATTGTTTGCACTTTACAGCATCATACACCGGGTTGGCACAGTCTCGGGGCCTTCCCACGATATTTCATCCCTTCCATATCGCTGTAGGACGCCAAGCGTGAATATGAAATCGTCGCACAATGGCTGATACTCCACTTGCCCCACGTTGTACAATTGAAAATCTCAATTCCAGGAGACTGGTCCTTACGGCTCCTGAGTTATATCACACGATTCGACAGCCGTAGTCTTCCGCCTACCGTCGGTGCACGCACCGCTTAGCACCTGTGCGCTCCCCCATTCCGCACAGCTCGGCATGGAAGATAGGGGACCGCATGGGTCAGGAAATCTGGGGGAAACCAAAAGATCTCTTCTTGGCACGAGTCCGAATCAATGCTGGACAAGGAGAAACCATCCAATGAGTGGGTTTTGCCTCTGCAATGATTGTTTAGGTCTCCAGGTCCTACCGAGACGAGACCGCCGATACTCCCGATCACGAGGAACCTGTGACATAGTGTTGAATCGGCAGGATCTGAGCAAGGTGTGCGACCGCGCACCTTTAGTTGACATTTCACCTCGCGGCATAGCAAAAAAGTGACATGGGCGAAAGATTCGGATTTTGATAGCGCCGACCTCTCAATTTGCTGCTATGCCTGATGGCACAACCAGGAAAAGAGGCAGACCGCCTAAATATGCGAGCAAGGAAGAAAAAGCCCAGGTCGACGTGCGGCGAAAACGAGCAAAGCGACAACACGAGGCCTCAGAAAAACGTGCACGACAGCATGATCAGTTTTACAACGGAGAGATTCCCTCCACGACAGTGTCCCTCCCGCCTCCACTTTCGACTCGACACGCTCCGAACGATCTGCCACCTGTCACTGCCTTCCCTTCGGGGTCGGGCTTCTCGTCGGACGATGACCGCAATAATACTGGATGTCTACATAGATTACATGCAAAACCAGCCAGGTGATGAACGCCTCCATTGTGCCCTTTTGGTATGTCGTGAACCGATTGTGTACAAATCCTCCTCGCCTAACGGATGACACCCATTCCCTGACCCCCGAAACCCATATCCCAGTTGAACCCCTTGTTGCCAAATGCATTCCGCGTGTGTCTGGTCGTCCTCATGGTGTTGGCACCTTCCATTCGTGTGATAGCGTGCTGCTGTCTTTTACGCGCATCGGGAATAGGAAGAAGCGGCCCAAAACGGCCGTCTAGCACATTCAGCTCCGTGTCTCCGTGATCGATTTCAGGCAACGCCTTGGTATTGGCCCTGCTGCCGCTGACCGGCGGCGCTTCAGGCTGCCTCTCTTCACAATCGAGGTCGGTCGGCGCCTCTGAATCGGTTCTTCTGCCACTGGCTGGCGACCCTTCTAGGTGCCTCCCTCCATCATCAACCCGGGTCACAACCTCTGTATCGGCCTCGTTGACCAGCGACGCTTCCGGGGGCACGCAGTCCTTTGGCAGCATAGCGTCTGGTAGCGGACTTTCCTGCGCTTTGCTGTCCGACACTTTCGCTGTCGTAGGCAAACCGCCCTCTGCGCTCAAGATTACCTGCCGCGTGGTCTTTGTGCGCTGCTGTGAAGGTGAAAGCTGCCGAGCATTCTCAGCCGCAGGCTCTAACGGGCGTGAGGCGCTCGTGTCTCCGTGTTCTGCATCGGGCGGCGGCTGAGGACTTCTGGATGTGTTCAAACGGTTGTCCCTGGTCTGCACCGGCGGACTGATCAACGGCTTTGTTTCTCTTTGGGAGGCAATCGGATTTCGCATCACCTTGTCGAAGTCGTAAATCCCAAGGGTTAACACACCCGCGGACTCCTTCTTGGGCGGGCATGTAGTGGCAACGTTGGTATATTGGGAAACACGAGAAGCCCACGGGGGCGGATATCGATTGTGCCTGTATGATTGGGCTATGGTCCGCGTGAAGCGTATCATGGGTTGCCTCCCATCGCCCCAGTCCCACTCGTTATGGCAGTCGGTGAAGTCGTAAGCTTCCTGCTGGTTTGCCACTCGCCCGACGGCTAGGCGCGTCGCGTCGTCATCAGCAAGTGGTGTACAGGGCACTGAAGCTAGTCCGTTTCCCCCCGCGGCGTCTTGGCATGGAGTGTTAGGCATCTGCGCCGCGCAAGAGGCTTTGGGCGTCGCCGGCGCGTCCTCCACCAAGAATTCCTCCGGGGCCGTGATGAAGGTACCATTCTCCGAGCCTTCGATGACGCTATTTATGTCAACTTCGCAAATGCCGCCCAGGTTTGCAAGGTCGTTGTCCAAGGAAGAAACCATTTGTCCAGAGCCTTGCATAAGCAGGGCCGGACATGTCTCGACGATTGTGCTCGCATTATCGGACTCCACCCCGTCGGGTCCCACGTGACCACACTCCCCATTGTGCTCGAACTCGGCAAGCTTTCTCTTCAGACCAGCCTTTACCTCCTCTGTAAAAGGTTGTGTTGTCCAGGGCAACGTCGGACCGATCAAGATAGTTTGCTCAGGCTTCTCGCTTGGGTCCAGGTTCAGGAACGCCAGGCATTTATTCGCGCTCCACCGTTTCAGGGGGTCCCGCAAGAGCATGCCTCTGAGGAGGGGCCGGTACTCCGGATCGCAGTTCCTCTCAATAAGTGGATCAACAAGTTGCATCCATTGCTGTACCTGGAAAGACGATTTCGGATACTCCGTGTCTTTGAAAGGTGTGTCGCGGGACCGGTCGTGACCCACAAAGTGCTCCAAAAATAGGACACCGAGGGAGAAGATGTCGGCTTTGGCACCATAAGGCTTCTTATCCAGGACTTCAGGCGCGCAGAAAAAGGGGGTCCCCGCCAACCCCTCCACGCGGCGGTGAGTGGACCTCACAGCGCCATTATCGGTGAATTTATAATCCCATCGGTACTGATGGCCAGCGCACTCATCGTCAGAGCACCTATCGTCAGAGCACCCATGGTTAGAGCACTTGACAAGCCGCATTAGGACGTTTTTAGGCTTGACGTCGCGATGCATGATGCCGCTTTCATGATAGTGCTTTAGGCCGCTGAGTAGTTGCGAGGCCATTTCCACCTTGTCCACATCCATGGGTAACTTTTCTCTTTGGCCGAGACAGTAGGGCTGATATTCCTCGATGACCCACGGGGGGTCATCGGTTTCGGGCACGTAGGCTATGTCGACGATTGCATTGACGTTAGGCTAACGGAAAACCAGTCTTGTCAGCAGGAGTCAATTTAAAATCGTCTGCGTTTCCAGACGAGGGAAAGGAACCGAGGGCAGTACGTACGTGCGGGTTGTGCATTACGGTCTTCCATTCATTTTCCTGCATTTCTCTGAACTCCTTCTTTGCGAGCTGGCTGCCGTCCCCCTTTTGATAAATCTCCTTTGCGACTAGCATCGGCTCGTCTGGGCCGGCGACATCTTCGTCATCCTGAAACTCACCGAAGTGAGGATTCTTGATCACTTGGACACGAAACACTGTCCTGTAGCCACCTTTTGAGATAATTTTGCCAAACGCTTTGTATATCGCGCCGGACCGGCCTATTCGTGTCAAGCGGTCGAACATGGGTGTTGGGGCTAGGCTGGAACCGCCGGTCGATGCCGCAATGCCAGGGAAGTATTCCTGATCCAGGCAATTCGTTCGACGACAAAAGTCCCTGACGTTGGACTTGAACACCTTTTCTTCGTCCTTGTTGAGCGTAGGTATCCATAGCCAAAATCTGAGCGTAGGAAAAAGTATCTTGACCGGCTCGGTGAGAACCAATTCCTGGTGGTAGCGCTGCCGGAGATCGAACGGCCCCATTTGGATGCGGATGAAGGATCGGTGAAGTAGGGGTATCATCCTTGGGACAAACTCGCCTTTAGGGCCAGTTGTATAGTCGAAGAAACACGTGGAACTGCTGATGCCACTCTCAGTGTTGCGGGGACACAGTATGTCGCGGGGCTTCTCGTCAGTATGCGTTGTCTCTGACATAGCGCCGAGATGCCAGCCGAACGTCCGCCTCGGTAACTTGAGGAAGGAAAGGGCCAATATAGGACCATCGAGCTTGATGTCGGCACGCATCTGCCCGCGCCATGGTTCCGGCTGCTCGTCGTCAATCCAGCCATTTGCCAAGTCGTGGGCACGGGGCGGGGGCCGCGTCCAGATGAGCTCCTCATTCAGATTAATGAAGTCTTGTGCGGATCCGCCCTCAATGCCACCGACGAGCAGCGCGATATCACCGAGACCAGTGTGTGCAGACGATTCCATGGTCATCTTTGTCCTCGCCAAGGAGACCTGCAAGGAAGGGCGCGGGGCGACCGAGAAGGAAGGATGTGAAATAATTGCAAACTAGTCGTGAGATGGTTGCGAATTCACTGTAAACTGGTCAATCCAAACGACTGGAAGCCATGGTTTACAGGAGCAATGACTGCTGTACACCAGGGCTGGAGAAAGGTGGAGGGGTTGGACAGCCAGCCAAGGGGAGAGGCGTGGGGCCATAAATGAGAGGGTGGGTGTATGTGACCAATGACAGGGCGCACAGCCCTGGGCGCAAGGGCAACCCCCGACTGCCAAGCCCGCACCTCCCTGCGTGTCGGGACATGGGGCGCACGACGCGGTTTCTCTGGCTCTGGGGCCCCAGTCAGCGCCACCTCAAACATTCTCGGGCACGCCCTGCGTAGATCCTATCGGCAACGCTTGATACACATTTGTCATGTTGCACGGTTACTTCCGCCGTATTCCCTGGTGATGGCTAGCTGTTTTTGTGTAGTTCGTGTCGATTTTTGCATTTTGTCGGTCGCACTTTTGTTCCTTGCATGCCTATGCGAGGCTGTGCCCTCCCTCGGCGGGGAAAATTGCTTCGTCGCCCTTCTTCTTAGCCCCTTTCGTGTCCGGTTCTTGTTCTGGGGAGGCTTCTGCACTCTGGCACCCTGAACTCCCCTAGTCGACGGAGAGCAGCTGTTGTTGGAAGGTGGCGCGAGAACGTGCGGTGGCTCGGTAGGCGGTAAAATGCCTGTAGATTGCGCAGGCCGCAAGTCTTCTTCGTTGCTCTGGTACGATCTCTGGTTCTCTTCTTTGAGGCCTTGCTCGAAGGCGAGACTTGCATCCCAAAAAGCTGTGTCCGACTCAGGTATTTGCTGTCGCGCATTTTCTATCTCTTCGAGCGATACCCCCAGGCGCAATAGGATTTTACCCAGCATTTCTGCCGTTTGGCGCAGTTGTAGTAGCTTAGCGCTCGGTATTTCTTTAGTAAGGATATCTATCCTGCACCCTATTTCCCGTTTCCAGTACTGCGGCTCTTGAATTCGGTTTTGTCGTTGCTCTTCAACATGCTCCTTGTTCTGTCCCCTCCATTGCTGGCGGATGAGGAGTTCGCATTCGGTTTTGGAGGTATTCTCGAGCTTATCATCATCGAGGTCGGGCGTTGGCGTGAAGGCTCGCAATTGCTGAAATGGCCCGTCGGCAACGGCACCCAGACTCCCACTCGTAGACATCGAGAGTCTCTGTGGCGCAGAAAAGAGACAGAGCTGCAAAATGAACAAAAAGATCGTGAACAGGTAAGCCCGCGGCCACTCGGATCTGTCTAGTGACGGGCCAGTCGAAGGCGACTTAGCAGGAAGGCTGAAGTATTTGACGCGGACAGTCTCGTAGTTGTGGTAAGTGGCGGCTTCACTACTTCGACTGCGTACATTGTGAGAGATCCCAGGAAACTGCCAACGAAGAGTGAGCTGGAGAGAGAGGGGGAAAAAAAAA